TTCCACAGATGTCTATCCCCTTAACTCCTAATCTGTTCTCAAATATCTGCTACCACCATCCACTATACCATGTGGTTAGAAGCACACTGGAAGAACATCCGTCAAGCCCTGCTGCTTCTTTTCACTGCTGCTCTTCTCATTGGGGTCACCATGCTAGCCATTTCCTCCAACATTAATCCAGTAGGCTACTTCTTCCTAGGGGTAGGTGGAGTGTGCCTGATTGGCTATTTGCTGAGTGTGCTTATTGAGTGTTACCTGAAGCATCGACATGGCACAAATGAGATACCTCCAAACAGTCAAAGCCAAGAGGGGTAAGCACTATTTCTTCTTACTTTAACTCTCTCTCCTCAAGCACGGCCATTTTACGTATTGCTTTGCCAGCCTTCCCCTAGGAAGATAAACTCAAAAACCATTCCAAAAGACAAAAGGGTTTTCCTGTATTAATATGGCACAGGTTGCAAGTACCTGTGCCACGTATCTCTTTTATCTTGTCCAATATTATTTTCGTCCCCCTTCACAATGACCTACAAACCATTTCCAAAGTTACGAAGGTTAAAAAACCAGGCTCAGTTTTACCTTCCATTGAGTAATTGAGTCCTGCCAAACAATGAGTCAGACAAGGAAAAAGAAAAAAATGCCAAGGTAATACTGAATCTCAGGTGGATTTAGTTCTCTAAACCTTATCTCTAGAGCAACTGTTCCTTGGTAAACTTTTAAAAAAGAACCTGTAACTGGGTGTGTTTCCAGTCTTAAAAAAAACATTTGACACTAGTAGGCCCAGACTTTTAGAGGCTCTAAATATTTCCAGATCTTTTTGGCTTCTTTTGCAGGTTACTCAGTATGATTAATTTTATTCCAGTTCACCTACTGTGGCTGAAGAGTTTATCTGTATATTTGCTTCCTTGGCCATATAATCCAGACAATCATTATCCAGCTCCATAAGTTGCTTACAGTTATCAGACACAGGGTATTGTAGGAGTGCAGGAATGTTCTTACACATTTATTTTTAGAAAGCATATGAGAAAGAAACTTTGGCTTTGCCAACCTTAAAACATAGTAGAAGAAAACTGCTACCTACTTATTTAAAAATACGACCTAAAAGATAAGAAGTTTCTAAAGTAGCACTTTTCTCTGCAGACACTTTTCTTCAGACCTTGCTTCAATTAAGTGAAAATACTTATGTTTCTCTTAACTTATTTAAGAACTTATGTTCTTAAAAATTTATGAACACTGAGCTATTACAACAGAGATTAGATTTAAAAAAAAAAAAAACCACACAAAACATGGCTCTGTTTTATTCAGATAAATAATTATTAATTAACAATTCTTAGTAATACATTTTAAATAAGTGTATATCAAGATAAGCCTAATATACTGAACTGAACGGTGTTGGGGTTTTTTTTTTAATTTTTCTGGTAACAGTGGGAAAATGGTCAAATGAGCCAAATAGACCAGGAGGCAAGACATTAAGCTGGCTGGACAAGTGAGCAAGTGCAATAACAGAATATCACATACATTAACGCCACAGGAGATATCCTGCCCCAGTCCTACCTACCGATTGAAGCATAGTTCCATTTCTACGTTATCCAACTACATGCCTCTGCATTAAAATTAAAATGAATGACCACAGTAACTGACATTCTGCTTCTGTGCACAGGATAAATGCTGCCTATGAAGCACCTACATACGAGGAGGTGATGACTATGTCAGCGCCAGCAATATGGACAATAGCATCCAATCCAGGCTCAGTGCCCTCACCACTGAGTGAACCTCCCCCTTATAACGTCGTTATTGAATCCACTGCCCAAGGAGAGACTGCGGTGGTAATTCCTGGGGTCTCAGTGGCATCAGACACAAGGAGCACCTCTGAGCCAGACAGGAACTCCAGGATACACTTGCAACTGGTTCTGCCCCGAAGCCAGCAGCGCTTTATTTCAGACACCAATGAAATGAAAGGTAATGCAGATAGGTATGAGCCGCTGGAACCACTCACTCCACCACCTGCTTATGAGAGTGCCATCTATGATGAGGTCTTTGAAGACGTTTTCCAGCCCTCCACATTAGATTAATTCCACTTTCTATGAATGCAGGAGCAAACATTCACCTTAATATATTAAGTTTGTCTTTCCATTCTTTGAAGCAAAGCTGAACTAGCACCTAATTCACTAGAACCCTTTTGCACAAAATATAACTCACTGCAATACCACAGTGCCTCATCTTGGCACAAGATAAACAAAGACACGGAAAAGAACATTGTGATATACAGCAGCAACTCAAATTGGAGATGCACCTTTTGTGGGGAAGAAAGTGAATCGTAAAGAAAGACAACCTGCATCAGAAAGGAGGAACAGAAGCATTACAAACACCAGCATCACAGAGCATTGTGATCATCAACCACCTCACATTTCTTACTAAGAGACTAAGACTGCAGTTCCATGATTATAAAAGTGTTGGTACAACACACATTTACTTTCTGTGATGTTTTGTTGCCACGCCTCTGCTGCACTCCCACCACTGCTTCAGTTGTGCTGTGACTAAGAAGAGGGTGGCTGTGCTCATTTGAAAGCTAGCACCACTTACTACCTACCACTTCACTGCTAACCAGCTTGAGATTGAAAAGCTCACAGCAGGAATGGGATTATTATATTACACATGCTGTTCAGAATGTTCTATGTAGTCTCCGGATTGTTGACTGGAGGAAGAAAATAGCATCTTTTTCTCATAGAACATATACATTCTGTCTGGAGCACCAATTTTTACAGCTCTACAGGAGAGTTTATTTATGCTACAGCGCAGGCTCAAACAGACTGCTCAAGATACTTCATAGTCATCATGGCACACATCAGTGTAAAAAGGTCAACAACTAGAGTTCATTGTAACAACCCTGTGCGTGGAGGTTTCTTTCTGGAACCTGGAAAGGACCAGCCTCTGTGTCAAGGCTGTGACTGCAGCAGAGAGTACTTGCAAATAGGAGCCACAAAGCAGAGATGGCCTTCATCAAGACAGCTCTCCTTTTGAGCCAGGTTTGAGCTCTCTCAATTAGCGGTGCTAAACAGTGTTTTTAAATGGGCCAGTTAAACTATTAGGATCTGCAGTGCTGAAGTGGTTTGCAGTATGCAAAGAGACACTGAGATCTGATGAATGTCAAAGTTTTTCAGAAACAGAGAAAAATGGTCATCCAAATCTCCTTATGATTGAGAATAACCATCATCACAGCATTGTTTCCTATGACTACAACATTTTTCACTCATTTCATAAGCTAAAAGCAAATAAATTATTTCTTATTGCTTGATTCTTTATAGTTGAAAGGAAAAAAAAAGTTGTATGTTGTTTATAAATAAACAGGAATGCATCAGAAATATTTATTGGCACTGACACTAATTGTAACAATATTATTAAGCTTGCTCCTGTTTGTTGGTGGATACCCCTGCCCTGCAATTTGTTTAGGGAACAGAGCTGTGTCTCTGAACCAAGGAGATAAGGAAGCTCTGCTGAGTCTCTGTAATGAGGAAATAGGAGATCCTGCTTGGAATCGGTCCCTGAACATGTAACACACTTCTGGGAAACTTCAGCATACATAACATGACTGAGAAACTTCTGCATATGTACACATCTTGAAATATTTCTGCATATGTAACACCAGTTACGTATATAAGCTGAAGATCTTTTTTGCAACCTATGTATGATAGGAGAATTACCCCCCATGCATCCAACACTACTATTAAAGAATGTCTGCTTTCTAACACTCCACTTTGAATCTTAGAGAGTTCCCTGTCAGACCATCATACGGTATCACCATTACGCTTATTTAATAACACTGGCTTAGAAAAAGAGGAGTTGCAATTCTAAACCTTCAGACAAGTCACTTCATTACGAGCAGAGATGAAGCAGCTATGATACCTACATTGTAACAGTAGTATGAGAGGCAAGTTCGCTGGTAGAGATGTGGTGACTTTTTTATAAAGCCTACCATTTCTTGCATGTTTACTGATGGGTCATCACATAATTGTAGAGTGGCCTGGATTGGAAGGGACCTCAAGGATCATGAATCTCCAACCCCGCCTCAAGCATGGCCACCAACCTCCCCATTTAATACTAGACCAGGCTGCCCAGGGGCCCATCCAGTCTGGCCTTGAACACCTCCAGGGACAGGGCATCTACAACCTCTCTGGGCAGCCTGTTCCAGCACCATACTGCTCTCATAGTAAAGAATTTCCTCCTGACATCCCACCTACATCTTCTCTCCTTCAACTTAAAACCACTTCCCCTTGTCCTGCTGTTATCTACCTTGTAAAGAGTTGACTCCCCTCCTGTTCATAGGCTCCCTTGAGGTACTGAAGGCTGCAAGGAGGTTCTCTTCTCCAGGTTGAACAAGCCCAGCTCCCTCAGCTTGTCTTTGTAAGGGAGGTGCTTCAGCCCTCTATTCACCTTTGTGACCGACCTCTCTATTTCTAGGCTTTATTTCTGCCTAAGCTCAGTGTCATTCTTGGCACGGGCAGCATAGTTAAATTCTTGTATTTCTTACCTGTGTGCCTGGTGTCACTGTGTTTGTGGACCATCTCTAACAGCTCCCTGTCTTTCTCGTACTGGGGGCCCCAGATCTGGACACAGTACTCCAGATGGGGCCTCACAAAAAGCAGAGAGGGACAGACACCTCCCACTCCCTGCTGGCCCCCCCTCTTCTGATGGAGCCCAGGATACCATTCACTTTACAAGCTGCAAGAGCACGCTGCTGGCTCACGTTCAATTTTCCATCCACAGCTGTACTACACGGGAACGGAGACTTTCATGGCCTAAACTGAGTGGCCCAGGACTTTCCTCAAACTGCTAGGAGTCAGAAAGAATTTCAGGTGACCAACACACACAAAAACTAGCCAGAAGAAAGACCAAAAAAAATGCCACCGGTTACAGTCGCTAGGGTTTTGTTTTCTTAATCCATAATGGCGATTAAAGCTTTCCAGCTTCTGTAAAGCTTCCGCGTGTGAAACGGAAAAACCCACCTTCCACCTCTAAAGGTCGAACCGCCCTCTTTCCCCGCCGCCACGCCGAAGGCGGGAAAGGGCGGGAAGCCATGTCGCTCTGCGCGCCTATCAGTCCCGGAGTTCCACGCTGAGCATGCGCGTAAAGGCGGAAGCCGCAGGGCCGCGGGGAAGACGGTTCGGGAGGTGAGTGAGGGAGCGGCGGCGGCGTTCCGTCCGGCGGTGGTAGCGGAAGAACGTGGTGCTTGGTGCCAGCGGGAACCGGGGGCCAGTTGCCGTGTCCCATGCGGCCTTGGGAATCAACGGTGGAGGGTCTTGTCCGCCTGTTATCCGGCGGTCTCTTTTTCCCCGAGCAGAAAGCTGGGCCGATTAAGGTTGGCTCTTGTCACGGAGTTGGGTTTTGGTCCCCACTCTTTTACCAGGATGCTGGGAGCGTGCGGCATGCAGCGATACCACCAGGAAGCTCTAAAGAAGAACCGGGTGTTGCTGGCGAGAGAGCTGGTTTTGAAAGAGTTGATGGAACACCTGGTAGAGAAGGACATCATCACCATTGAGATGGTGGAAATGATACAGGTATGCCAATTAAATTCGACTGCACTGTTAGCTTTATTTCTGCCTAAGCTCAGTGTCATTCTTGGCACCGGCAGTATAGTTAAATTCTTGTATTTCTTACCCGTGTGTCAGTGTGTTTGGACAACACGTGCGACAGTATGGGTCTTTTTTGCAGCTTGCAGGAGAACTGGAAGCTGCTTTTGGCCTTATGGGTTTTGTCTGATTTAGTAAATTACTGCCTTATATGCTGGCCTGTAGCTATGACAGGCTGCTTTTTGTGAGCCAGGTGAGTTCTTCTCACTGGGTGATAACTTGTCTCTCTTTTTTCCATTTGTGAAAGCAGAAAAAACAAAACAAAACAATTTCCCAAAGAATTCTGTGGGAATGTATAAATAAATGTGTTATAAACTAGCTGGCTTTGGCACTGTGCATCTTTCACTTATAGAATTTGTACTTCATGTGTTTTTGTAAGTTGTATGATCTAAGACTATCAAATGACAAATATTTCTCACAAGCTTTTCTTACTTATTCTGAGCAGCACGTACTAGAATCATAGTTGAAAGGGGCCCTCAAGGATCGTGAAGTTCAACTTCTGTGTCCACAGGGGAACACCCAAAATTCAAATCCTGTGTTTGAGTGTCCAAACAATTCTTGAACTCCAGCAACTTGGGACCATACCCCACAGCCCTGGGGAGCCTGTTTCAGGGCCCTACTACCCTCTGGTGAAGAACCTTTTCCTAAACTCCATACTGCTTATCCTCGATGCAGCTCCATGCTGTTCTCTTGGTTCCTGCTGCTGTCACCAAAGAACAAAGATCAGTGCCTGCCCCTCGTCTTCCCTTGTGTGGAGTTCTAGGCTGCCATGAGGCCTCCCCTTGGTCTCCTCTTCTCTGAAGGCTAAACAAACCAAGGGGGCTCAGCCATTTCTCATACATCTTGCCCTCCAGACCCTTCACCATCTTGGCAATCCTCCTTTGGATTCTCTAATACTACTGTGTCCTTCTTGTATTATGACACGCAGTGCTGGAGGTGAGGCCATGCAGAACAGAGTGGGACAGTCTCTTCCCTTGTCCAGCTGACAGTGCTGGGCCTGATGCACCCCAGGATATGTTTGGCCTTCTGGCTGTCAGGGCGCAGTGCTGACACAGATTCAACTTGCCATCAGGCAGAACTTCCAGATGCTTCTCTGGAGGACTGTGCTCCAGCTTTCCATCCTGCAGTCTGTACTTAAATCTGCAATTGTCTTGTTCCAGTACTGAATCCAGCACTTGCTCTTCTTCATGTCCACCTCTCGAGTTTGTCAAGCTCTCTCTGTAAGGCAGAGAGGTAATTGAAAAAAGTTTTGGATTGGCCATAGACATACTGTTATGCACTGAAAATGGTGCAGGCTGGAGCAATAGGTCTTTATAGAGAAAGCAAACTGTATAAGGAATGACTGAAGGCATTCACCTTAACGCTAATGTAAGCACTTGATGCACTATTTGTAATGTAAGATTGTGGGTCTTGTCTGAAAAACAGATTCTAAAAAATAGAATCAGAATTTTTTGGTTGATTCAAGAGCAGATGGCATGAATCTGACAGTAACAAGTTTTTGAAAGGAATGAAAAAATAACTTTTTGACGATTTTTGACTGAGTGTGTGTCAAAAGATAACATGCCAAGTCATGACACATGCAGGCGTTCTTGTCTTAAGTATCTCCAATCCCTACTGAAAGAGAGCAAAGATAATAAGTGTGAAAGTGGAGAGTGATGCAAGTACTAATGAAGTATGAGTGGTAAGTAGAAATATTCAGTTGCTGACCTGGAGGTAGAAGGAGAGGAAAGGGGAAAAAAATAATACATTTTTCTCAGAGGTAGGTTAATACCAAATACAGTAATCTGTTAGAAAATACCACTGTATCAAACGAATCTTAAACTGAGACTGAGAGGAGGGGAGTCTTCCCTTACAGATTTATCTGAGTAAAAGAAGCTGCAGCAATACTTACTAATGGATAATCAACAAGAAGGAAATCAGAATTAGAATTTCTAATTAGGAAATTATAACAGTCAGATAAATAGTACACTTTCTAAGCAAATGTGAGAGCTTAGCTGTGAATAGAAGCAGCAACCTGAGCAAGAGAACCAAGTATCTTGAACTACTGTTTCAGGATATGAAGTTGGAAATTACAGTGAAAACAGAAATGTGAAAAGGACATGAGCAATGTATTCACAAGTGAAACCAATAGTATTGTAGAATATGTGTTGTACTAGAAATGTAGAAATGAGGGGAGTGCAGAATATGCTTGCAGAATAATACCAATAGTAATACAATAGATAAAAAGTAGCATTCATTAAAATGAAAGATCTTTTAAGTCAATAAGCACGTCTACTTCTGTGAATTTGCAATAGTGTTCTTCTCTCTGGCACAAATGTAAGTAAAGGACTTAAGTACACTCTTAAGTAGACTTCTCTAGTGCTCTTAAGTATCTTTATCAGTCACATAGACTGAGCGTACCCTCAGCAAGTTTGTTGATGACAGTATGTTGGATGGTGCAGTTGTCACAATAGAAGGAAGGGATGCTATCCAGAGTGGCCTGGACAAGTTTGAAAAGCCCAGACGAACTTAATGAGATTCAACAAGGCCAAGTGCAAGGTGTTGCACTTGAGTCAGGGAGATCTCAGATGTGTACACAGACTTAGGGAAGAATTCATTGAGAGCAGCCCTGCAGCAAAGGACTTAAAAGGATCTAGTGGACAAAAAGTTTGATAAAAGTCAACAGCATGCATTTGCAGCCCAGAAGGCCAGCTGTACCCTGGACTGCACCAAAAGAGAGATTGTCAGCAGTGGGAGGGAGGTGATTATCCCCTTCTGCTCTACCCTCATGAGGCCCCATCTGGATTACCACATCCAGATTAGGAGACTTCAACACAACAAAGATGTGGAGCTGTTGGAGTGGGTCCAGAGGAGAGCTAAAGAAATGATCAGACAGATGGAGAACCTTTTCTATGAAGAAAGGCTGAAGGAGCTGGACTTCTTCAGCTCAGAGAAAAGAAAGCTCTGGGGAGACGTCATTGTGGTCTTCCAGTACTTAAAGGGAGCTTATAAGCAGGAGGGAGACTGACTTTTTACACTGTCTGATAGTGGTAGAACAAAGGGGAATGGCTTTAAACTAAAATAAAGGAGATTTGGATTAGATATTAAGAGGACGTTTTTCACTCAGAGGGTTGTGAAGTATTGGAACAGGATGCCCAGAGAAGCTGTGGGTGCTTCATTCCTGGAGGTTTCAAGACCAGGTTGGATGGGACCCTGGGTAGCCTAATTTAGTGGGTGCTAATCCTGCCCATGGCAAGTGGATTCAAATTAGGTAATCTTTAAAGTCCCCTCCAATCCAAGCCATTCTATGATTCTTGAAAACATATTATAATACTGACAATTTTGTAACTTAGTGGAAGTACCAGGAGAGAAATGCCCTTGTGTCTGATGATAGAGCATAGGTTTTCCTGGGTTTGTCTGAAACTGTCTGAAACAGAAATTGTCTGGTTCCTGTGTATCCCTTTCCAGCCACTCAAAGAATGAAAAAGATCTGCATAAATAATTATGTTTAAAATCAAATAACAATTGCACTAGTAGTGTGTGGGTTTTTATTGAAATTAAATGAAGGAGTAAACAAATTGGTTCTGTAGTAGGGTATATCACTTAAACAGACTTTTGTAATCTAAATGAATTGAAATAAAACAAGGTGCCTGAGGAGATGAAGAAGGCATGGGATTTAGAATCAAAGGTTGGAAGTGACCTTAAAGACAGTCTAGTTCTAACCCTCTGTAGGGACATCTTCCACTAGACCAAGTTGTTTGAAGCTCTATCCGGCCAGGCTTTGGACACATCCAGGAATGGGGCTGCCACAGTTTCTTTGGGCAGCCAGTTCCAGTGCCTCACTACCCTCAGAGCAAAAAATTTCTTCCTAAGTTATAATCTAAATCTCCATATTTCTGTTCTAAAACCATTGCCTCTTGTCCAAACTCTACTCCCCCTGATAAAGAGTCCTTCCCCACGTTATTCCTGTAGGTCCCCTTTAGGTAGTGGAAGGCCTCTGTAGAGTTTCCCTAGGGCCTTCTTCAAGCTGAACAAATAAACTCTCAGCTTGTCTTCATACTAGAGGCGCGCTAGCCCTCTGATCTTTGTGGCTCTTCCCCAGGCCCACACTAACAGGTCCATGTCTTTCTTATGTTGGGCTCCCCAGAGCTGAATGCAGTATTCCAGGTGGGATCTCATGAGAGTGGAGTAGAGGAGGAGAATCACCTCCCTCAGCCTGCTAGGTACATTTCTTTCAATAAAGCCCAGGGTATGATTAACTATCTGGGTTGCAAAGACACATTGCAAGCTTGTATTTGGTTTTTCATCCAGCAGTACACTGAAATCCTTCTTTGCGGGGCAGCTCTCAATCCAGACATTTTTCTGCCTGTATTCATGTTCAGGATTGCCTTGGCCCAGATGCAGAACCCTGCGTTTGGTCTTGTTGAACTTCATGAGGTTTTTGCGGGTTCGCCACTCAAGTCTGTCAAAATCTCTCTAAATGGCATCCCCATCTCTCTAAATGGCATCCCCTTCTCTCTAGAGAACCAACTGTACAACTCAGCTTGGTGTCATCCACAGGCTTTCTGTGGGTGCACTCAATCCCACTGTTTTTGTCACCTACAAGGATGTTAAATAGTGCCGGTCCCAATACCATCCCCTGATGAATACAGTCTACCTGTGGGCACTTGAATGTGACTTTCCAACTAATTCCTTTACTACTGAGTGATCTATCAGTTAAATCCATGTCTCTCCAATTTAGAGACAACTCACTCTTGAGTTTGGAGAAGGTAATCCTTAAATATTACCTAGCTTTCTTGAGCCTCTCTTCCCTGAAGGGCCGTATCCTATGGTTTTCTGCAAAGGAAGTCCCTTATAGACCAAAATCTTCTCTCCTGAAGTCCAGAGTTTCAAGTTTGCTGTGTAGCCTCCTCACTTTCCTAAGGATCTTGAACTTCAGCATTTCATGGTGATTGCAGCCAAGGCTGCCCTTGAACTTCATGTTCCCCACCTCCTCCTTGTTGGTGAAAACAAGGTCCAGTGTGCACCTGTCCTCCTTGGCTCCTCTGTCACTTGGAGAAGGAAGTTATCATCAGTGTATCTCAGGAGGATTGCTAATGCCTTGCTATGTTGTCCTTTCAAAAGATATCAGGATGGTGGAAGTCCCCTGTGAGGACTAGGGCTTGTGAATTTGAGACTGCTCCTGTCTGTCTATAGAGGGCACTTGTTCTTCCTGGTCAGGTTGTTTGTACCATCCCCCAACTATGATATCACCTATCCCTGCCTTCCTTTTAATCCTGAGCCATAAACTTTCAGTTGGCTTCTCATCCATCCCAAGGCCAAACATCATACACTGCATCTGGACTCTGACATAGAGAGCAATGCTCCCTCTCATCTTCCCTGCCTGTACTTCCTAAAGAATGTGTCCTTCTATTCTAATACTCCAGCCACAGGAGTGTGAGGTGCTAGACCAGTCCTGAAACTTATTTGTAATAATAAAGAGAAAGATGGGAATGTAGTATGTTTTAGGAAGAGGTGTTTGAGAGACAGATGAAGTGTTCGCATGGAATGTGAAGAGTAAGCAGAGAGTCCATAGTTAAACAATGGAGAAGAATTAATAAACAGGAGCAGCTTTCTTTGATGACCAAAGAAGAGAAATTAAAAAACTGACAGGAATTTAATTAGTTCATTCTGAAAGATACTAAAGGTGACATGAGGTGTAAACTGCTGTTTTTAAAATTAAATCTGGAATCCTTCTTTAATACCTTCTTGACAGAGCATCAGATGTTCCTCCAGAGCTCCAATATAGACCTTCAAAATTACAGATACGATAGCTAGGGCTTTGTTTTGCTTTTAAACAAGTTGAACACTTTGTACTGTACTATAACTGCAAACTAGAAGATCATGGAGATCATAGGTGGCCAATATTTTGCCTTGGCTGTGTTGAGTGAAGAGGAACTGCCTTGGACCATATATAAAAGATATATTTTATTTATGTAATTAACAAAACTTATTTATTTATTTATTAGTAAAACATTAACAAAGCAACAAAACGTAAAATTAGTAGGGTAGTTGACCTTGTTTTTGTGAAACTAATGCATCAGTGTCTGATCTGATGGCAGTGGTTGCAGTTCCTACTGAGTTCTCAAGACGTTTATCAGAGATTTTTCTTGAAATTTTACTCTTCATCCTTGAAAATACTTGTTCACAAATGTGTACCCCCAAAAAGCAATGGCATGAATAAGGTATGATTGTGAAGTGAGAGATATTTTTGTCTTGTGAGATAGGGCTAATAAAAATCTTGTTAACAGATATGATCAAATTTTTGAGTTGAATGTCTGATTGCAACTCTATATATTCCATTTGTAAATTCACAGGTAATGTATTTGTGCCAACTGAAAATAGAGTTGCAAGTATATTTTAAAAATAATGATTTTTTTCTGTAATCTTGGAACCTTTTCCTTTATCAAAATTGAAAGCAGGGCTGTATATTTTTCTCTGTTCGTGGTACTGTTTGATTTGTGTTCCGAACTACATATAGTTACTTGCCATAATTTGAATTAGCACTGCAGTGTGCCCTGGTTCCCATGCCCTGGTTTCAACCCAGTCAGTGGCAGTTGCACACTGATATTTGGCTGTTGCTGAGCAATGGATGTGCGCCTGGGGCTGGGCTGCTTGGCAGGGAAGAGCCACTGCCATGATGGCACAGGGCAGGTGGCTGCCACAGAATGAACTGATCCAGCCTGCATACAGCCCACAGCTGCAGTTTGAACATTGCAGTTAGAGATACTTAAAGGCTTTAGGTTGATCACTACACAGTAGTGAAGATATCACTTTGATTAGGATGTTTGTCAAAGGCATAAGGTATTCTGCATATCAGATTCTGCATATATTTTCTAATTCACTAATAAGACCTATACATTGGGATTTTGACAGAAGAGTTGAAATCAGAGTTTATCGTGCAAACCTTCATGTTATATAGATTATCAAGTTCGACTGAAGATGCAAAAACAAATGTAGGATGTATTAGAAAATAAAATAGAAGATGTCTATTATATGAAAGCTTTGCTTCTAAATGTTTGCTGAACATTATTTAGCATAACATAAATAACAGCAATGGAAGTTACCTGTGGGAGTACAGCACTTTGGGTGTTTAAGGAGGGGTTCAGGAAGAAGTCAATTGAAAGCTGACTATTGTACAAACAAACTGCAGAACACAAATGTTATGAAATGTTCTTAACTCTTCAATATAACTTAATATCCAATTCTTGAGGTTAGCTTGTGTTCTTGATATTGATATTGATATTCATGATACATGCCTCAAGATCATAAACTATGAAGACATAAGATGAAGAAAATTAATCGTCTTGAGCTTGGCCTAAACTGCTGCAGGTCTGCTAAAAGGAAAAAAACAATAGGCACTTTAGAATATCAGCAGTCAATTTATGTTAATAGGTAAAATAAAATTCATTGGGCTTGCTTCAAAACGTACATGAATGCAACTGGTTATCTTCTGCAGAATGATAGAGAACTGCTACTAGCGTAGAGGGACAAGTATTTTCATACCTGAAAGGCACAGGAGGGATTAGTGTATGCATTTCTATTAAAATTATATTCAGAAAGGTGTAGTTTCTGTGAGATCTGGAAAGGGTGCTTGCATCGTCAGAAGAAATAAGATATTTACAAGAGGAGGCTAAATGAGAATGACATTTTTACTTCAGCAAATCTAGATTTTAGTAACAATTTTATTAAATAAGAAAAATAACAGGAATCTGAAGCCAAGGGACTTTGTTGATAGAAAACTAAATGCTGTTAGCCAATCATGAATGAACATAGCTTGAAATTTCAGAATAGGTTCGTAAGCATTGGATCAAAAAGATTTGCATTCTCATTCCAAACAGTGTGATGAGACAAAAGCCAAAGTACTTTTAAGAACAAACAGGATTAGTTTTATAAATGGAAACATGATGGTGTGAAAATCTTCTGTAGCAGACTATATACATGTGCAACTTAAGGCTATTTTTCCCTTGTGATTGCTAAGGTAGTGTTAGTACTTTGTTCTATGCAACTCACCAACCGTTTCATAGAAGAAATCTTGGATTGAAGTGGCAATTCAAAAAAAGTAAAATGAATTCCATGGGTCTTGTAAGACCTATTTTCAGTACCTAATATTTTAGTATGTGATGTTTCAGTTTTCTTAACAGGGAGGGCTTTTACAAGTTAGACTGTTGGTTTGCAAATGTCCTATGCCTGTTTTACAGAAACAAAAATTTGATTTTTAGTTGTTTCCTTTTCTAATATATTGCTAGGCTTCACTGGCGTAAATGAAAAGCATTATACATACATGGCATCTTTTTGGAATTCACTACAGGAAATAAGTGTTTTCCATGACACTTTCCAAGGACTTTGTGTATTAGTACATGAGACACTTAATACATTGAGCAGTAGTGAAAATGGATTCTGGACTTTGTGTGTCTGGTGAGAGTAAATGGGTACTATTCAGATAGTAACTGGAAGTAGATTAGAGAGAAGAGAGTGTATTACTGTCTATGGTAATGTGTGAATTGTTGGCTTGCTGTGTAGTAATATACTCTCTCCCTTGAGCTGGTAAGAACAGAAGGGTGCCAGTGAAATCAACTAGGAAAAGCCATTTAAATGTGATCTAACACAGCTAAATATGGTAATGGAACATTTACATGAAGGAAAAAGATTGAGTTATTCTAAAGCTTAACTGAAAATAAATTGCGTTGGGGTAATACTTAGAGTGTGAATTTTGTTCCTTCTTTATATCTAGGCCAAGTCCGGAAGCTTCAGCCAAAATGTGGAATTCCTTAATTTGTTGCCCAAGAGAGGCCCTGCTGCCTTTTCAGCCTTCTGTGAAGCTCTACAAGAAACCAAACAGCAGCACCTGGCGGAAACAATCTTGAAGACAGAATCCAGCTTGAGACATGGAATTGCAAGGGTATAACATTTTTTAAAAATAAAACATGGACTGCATTAGGGATTGGGTTTGGGAACATGTTTTTCATACGCTTAGAAAAAGAAATTATCAGAAAGGAAAGGATGGCATTTAGTTGCAAGTTGAAACCTGCAGTAGCCTTAGGGTAAAAGAACAAAATGAATTTGGGATGAAGAGAAGTTTTACAGAGAAGTGGAGAATGCTTAAGGTTGGCAGGGGACCTCTGGAAGTCATCTGGTCCAACCCCTTTCTCAAGCAGGGCCATTTTGAACAGGTTTCCCAGAACCATGTCCAGGCTCTTTTTTTTATTATTTCTAAGGGTGGGGACTCTACAGCCTCTGTGGGCAACCTTTGCCAGCACTCAGTTACCCACACAATTGTGTCCAGGTGTTCAGACAAAGTCTCTTGTGTTCTAGTTTGTGTGCATTACCTCTTCTCATGCGTGAGTATTACTGAGTTATTTCTAGATCTATCTGTGGCCGGAACAGGAAGACTGCAGGCCCACTGGCCCAAAAAGGGAGATGGGAGGCAACGATCTTAGGAGGGAAGTTGATTTACTAATTATAATAGTGGAAATACAAGTTAATTGGGATTGAAGCTAATGAACCAAATAAATGAGAGAGAGGGTGTCCAAAACAAAAAGGCCCTACTCTAATGCTGAAGGTGAGATGGCTAGGGAGCACGCATTGCTGAGACAAGCAGTAAAAGGGAGAGTAGTCTCGTGACTTGCAAGCAGTTTTTCCCTCTGAATGGAAAACAGAGTCACAGAGTCCTCTGGGGAAATGTAGTTGTTCTTTTCTGAGAACCAGGAACCCAGAAAGGAGCTGGAGCATTAACTCGTCAACTCCCAGTGCTCTACATGATGTTATGGTGTGGAATACCACTGACAAAAATTGTAAAACTATGACACTGGGCATCACTGAAAGGAGCATCTCCCTTCAGTGTTTGTGCTCATTGGTAAGGTCCCAAGATTTCTGTATTCCAGGCTAAGCAGTCCCACTTTTCTCAGCATTTTCTCGTATGAGAGGTACTCAACTATCTTAGTCATATTTGAAGCCCTTTTTTAGGCTCTTTCCAGGTTGTAACTCCCTTTTACTGGGAAGCCCTTAACTAGATACCATACTTCAGGTGTACCCTCACTGGATCTAAATAGAAGGGAAGATTCACCTCATTTGATCTAATCTGCTGGCAAGGCTCATAATGCAGCCTGGGATACCATTTGCTTTCTTTGCCACGAAAGGCACATTGCAGGCACATGTACGATTTGATATCTACCAGGATCCCTAAGACATTTTCTTCAAAGCTGCTTTCCAGACAGTCAGTTCCTAGCAAATAAGATTATTCCTCCCCACATGCAGTATTTTGCACTTCTTGTTGAATTCCGTGATGTCTGTGGGCATTCCTACATCTAACACACTGACTTACCATCAAGAATGTAAAAGCTGCAAAAATATGTATTTTTTCTAAAATCTTCTAACTTAGTGTTCTCTGAGTAGAAAGCTACTTAGTATCTGCAGTTGTTAACATTAGATAGAAGGAAGAATTTAATAAAAATTCAGTATTCTCAGTGCACTGTAAAAGATGGGAAGTTTAGTAAACATTTTATACTAAGGAAGAAAGACTAGAATGATATTTTTGAGCAGAGTTATTACCATATTAAAATGTAGAAATTACTATATTAAAAAAAAAAAAAAGAAATCTTGAAAGCAACCAGAAGGAGGAGTTATTGAATGAAACAAGTCTTGACTAAAATTAGGAGGATGTGATACCTCATCCTAGGGTGTCCCAGCAAGGGATTTGAGTGAAGGTAGGGATGAGTAAATGAAGGAAGGAAACTGTCATTAACAGGAATTGCTGTTATCATATCATGAACTCTTTGGTTTGGATTTAAGCCATAGTGTCGTGTTTTGCGTCAAATTGTATATAATATATAAAGAATATACGAGGGTTGCTGTAAAAATAATTCCTCCTCTTTTACTATGGTGTCCCACACTGGCAGGGGCTGATGATGTTATGGCAGTAGAGGCTGAGCCTTCCCACCAATATTCCATTGCATTGTTTTTGGCGTGTGACAGATGGAAGCAGAGCGGCAGTATGACAAAATGCTGCATGAAGCATTGAAGAATTGAATTCCTCAATGTGGAAAAAATGGCACCCATTGACATTCATCAGCACTTGCTGAATGTTTATGGAGACCAACAGTAAATGTGAGCACAGTGAGACGATGGGTGGTGCATTTCAGCAACAACACAATCATAGCACTGTAAAACAGTGGGTCAGCTCCACTGGTGCAGAATTTTGGAATCACAACATGCAAGCTCTTTTTCATCATTGGTGAAAGTGCATAGCTAGTGGTGGTGGCTGTGTTGAAAAGTAGTATTTTGTAGTCGAGTTTATCGAGAAGTGTTTTTGTGCTCTTTGTATCTTTTGTCGTTTCCATGGAAACAAATAGGAGGCATTACTTTTGGAGTGACCTACGTATTACAGCATGTCATGTATTGTATGTAAATATCTGTGTCATTGTCCATGATACCTACAGCCTTGTTCTATAGAGAAAAAAAATAGGTATCTTTTGCCAGTTTTTTATGGATTTATTGCATGTCTTGTACCTTGAACAGCGTTATGGATCAGATCTTCCACTTCCTCTGAGTGAGTCATGTAATTCAAAGAGACCACGCTTGATTGGTGAGTCACACAATACATCATGAGAACTTGATCATCAACTGTCTGGTTGGTTGCCTCTAATTTCCTAATGCTCTGTTATCTCAATTTCAGAAATAAGATTGACACCACTTAGCTCATCCTAAGAATACAAACATGAAAATGGACTGTATTATGATCAGATATAAGAGGCAGAATGAGTCTGGAAAATGACATTTAAGTAGCCTAGTGGAAGAGAAAACCTAGTTAGTTAGCTTTATTTATTCATGTAGGAGCTTTCATTGCTTAAATAGAATGGGTCAGCTGTAAAATTTTAGATATCCAAAGAATTTCTTTGTTTAATGTGTACAATAGAGTGCAAGTGAACTAGAACTGTGGGAGGATACTGATAATTGGCAGTATTCCAACTTACATTTTTTTTTAACAAATGATTTCAAATACGAGGCATCATCTATGTAATGTCAGCAGAAATGGATAGCTGTATCTTCCATTGAATTCAGCAAATCAACTTTACTTCAGCAGGCATTTGTGATTTAGGTTAGGAGCTGGTTGTTGGAATGAGTCTCCTTGTTAGATTTCACGTTACCTCTGATAACATCTGGACAGTACAAATTGACCTTAACCACAACTTTGGTGTTGTGCTGCTTACTACTAGGAGCTCTGTCTGATACTAAAGATCAAATGTATAGGTTTGAAATCCTTTTTGATTGTTGGTTTGTTGGCTGTTGTTTTAGGTATGAAGGTTATAGGTTTTTTAGAGAGCGTGTGTTTTTCTCCAGCTGGGAGAAATGCTCAAAATGCTAAAAAGTATTTCAAAAGAGACCATGAAATTTTTAACTGAACTATTAACTCACTTGCTTCAGGAAAAAGGATTGAGCATCTCTTAATGTTAATTAACTGATTCTCATTCCCCTTGTCTACTGCTGACTGGACATAGGAGTTGTCCAGAGACAGATAAACAACACAAAAAGAGCACTGCACTTTACAGAAGTTAAAACTATCTACTTTCATCACTAATGAACCAGTTGAGCATAAAATGAGATCTCCAATTGTATCCAGTGAGAATGGAAATCTTTTATGAAAGGATAAGCACTGCTCTAATTTTCAATATAAATTCTGTTCCTATACTCAGTAAAACTAAATTTGCTAGTCCTTAGGTTAATCTACAAAAAGGCAGAATATAAAATCTGTTGCCAATTAGAAGTATATTGGAAAGGTGTATTTTTTGTATTTGTTTTTTGACTGTATATGTGATGTCCTTGATCAAGCAAAATGTTCAGACATATGAGTTGTATAAGACATGAATATGCCTTATGCCACATACTTCTGAATTTGCAAATTACTACCTTAATACAGAGGGTTTATAGCTAGAATTTTTATTATTATTTATATTTTTCTTTTGCACAAAACCAGTGGAACATTCTTTGGACAGTGGAGATGGTCCTTCGATTCCTCCAGTGAAGCACTGCACTCCAGAATTCTATCATGATCACCAGCACTTAGTAAGTTGTTGATAGAGAAAATCTCCTTCAAAGGTGAAATATTTAGATACATCAGCTGACACACGCTACTTACAACTGAGTAAAAACACTTCATTATGGGTACATGTTAGTGTTATGGTGTGTTTATGTGTGACTGCAAATAACTGTACAATATTAGAACTATTTTTCAGCTCACAGTCACAATTGTGGCTCTTTTAATTTTCTGCTGTATCAGGAAAAGTCTCCTTAGGTGCAGAAATAAGGTCAGGATTCTGTGCAGTAGAGAGCAGAAGAACCTGAATTTCTAATCCTTTTATTTATCTTTGGAATTTTATATAGACAGTCATAATTATTTTTCTGTTTGTTCCATTTGTAAAGTATAGGTTGTGGTGGTGTAGGCTTAAGGAAAACAAATGTGATAGTGCAGACACATTAGTAGGATTACACTACAACTTAATTCTTAACACTTAACTCTTCTGTAACAGGCTCTCTGTTCAATAAAACACTTTTCATGGGCTTTTATTTATTTATTTTTTTTTTTTTGCAACTGTTGGGGAGACCTAATTTGCCAACATCAGCATGAGTCTGGCTTAATTTCTTTTTATATCTGTGTCTGGTTACACCGTATTTGATATGCTTCTTCAGTATTACATTTCACTTCCAATTCACAGGGATGTTATTACCAATTTATTATTAGTTTCTTGTTGGTAGAGTGGAAGGGGCAAGGTGGTTTTGAAGACACCCTTCTTAAATTAGTTTTTTCCCTATTAACTTTTCTTGTCATCTGCACTACTTTGAAGATCAGTGATTTATTGCTGCCTGCTGCTACAGTTGCACTCACTCACAGGCTGTTTTACATCTCTTCTTGTTCCCAACCACAATTAGGAAACGAGCTAAATTTTGCTTAATGTTTTCCTAGGGCCTTTGGTGAGTATGACCAAAACTTATTTGGCCCTGTGGGGGTATTTGTGGAAGGCGAAAAGCATTAGCAAGAGCTAACTCACAATTTGAAATGCTTAATCTGTTTTCCTTATAAAACAGGAAATAAGGCAAGCTATTACAACATCTTATTAATATTGTAGGATCATTAGTTGTGGAAGTTTGCACAGAAACAGTTGCCTTTGAGACCTTTTGCAATATAAAAATTTGCCGTATTAAAAAAAAAAAAAAAAAACAACTTATTTTACCTCTACTGTTTTTGTGCCTTCTCAAACAAGAAATCCTACATATCATTAGTAATTAAGTTGGTGTATGGGGACTGGTGTTATACACACAGACTCTATTATTTCCTTGCATAGTCTAAATATACCAATTTTAAATCTTCTTCTCAGGCATACAAACTGATATCAGAGCCCCGAGGCTTAGCACTTATTCTCAGCAATATCCATTTCAGCAGTGAAAAGGACTTGGAATATCGTTCAGGTGGAGATGTGGACTGTGCTTCCCTAGAGCTGCTTTTCAAGCATCTTGGATATCAAGTGACTGTCTTTCATGATCAAAGTGCAAAGGTAAGGGAGATACTACTACTACTACTACTTTAGAACCAATATGGCTGAGTTCATAGCTGTGATGCTTGCCAGTGTAAGCATCTGTTAAAGTGCTTCAATATCCCAGCCAGACTCCAGTGTTAGTATAAAACTTCTGTAAAGCAGCAGTTGCTGTCTCGTTTGTTAAATCTGTATATACCAACACCAATATTTGCTGTATCCCCCACCATTAACCAATATGGAAGATGTCACAGAATCATACAATCACCAAGGTTGGAAGAGACCTCCAAGATCATCAAGATCATCATCTGTCCGCCTACCACCAATATTTCTCCACTAAACCATGTTCCTTAGTACAATATCTAAACATCTCCAGGTGTGGTGACTCCACCAGCTCCCTGGTCAGCCCATTCCAGTGCCTAACTGCTCTTTCAAGAAGAAATTTTTCCTAATATCCAACCTGAACTTCCCTGACACAACTTGAGTCCATTGCCTCTTGTCCTATTGCTAGTTTCAGGGGAGAATTTGCCCAATCCTTACTTCACCACAACCTCCTTTCCAGGAGAGAGCTGTAGGGTCTTCCCCAAGTGTCCTTCAGAGTAAACAGTCCCAGTTTCCTCAGCTACTCATCAGAAGACTTGTGCTCCAGACCCCTCACCAGCTTCATTGCTCTTTTCTGGACATGCACTTGGGCCTTGGTGTCTTTCTTGTAGTGAGGGGCCCAAAACTGAGCACAGTACAACTGCAGCAGAGCTTCGTACCAGGGAACGATCACTTCCCTGATCCTGCTGGCAGCACTATTTCTGATAAAAGCTAGGATGCCATTGGCTTTCTTAGCTATCTGGCTCGTGCTGCACTGCTGGCTGACTTTTAAAGACATGTAAAGAAGGCATTGAGAACCTCAACCTTTTCCTTGTGGTCATGTTCACTTCCTCATTCAATAAAGGATGGAGATTGTCCTTTGTCTCCTCTTACTGTTAATCTATTTGTTAAAAAAAAAAAGTTTTTTTGTTCTCTTTTACTACAGCCAGGTTGAATTCAAGCTGGGGTTTTGTATTTCTGATTTTCTCCCTATATATCGTAACAGCTTCTTTGTACTCTTCCCTAAGCTGTCTGTCTCTTCTTCCGAAAGAGGTAGACTCTTTTTCTCCTGGAGCCTCAAAAAAAAGTTCCCTGTTCATCCACACTGGTCTTCTTCCCCACCAGCTCATCTTAGGGCATGGAAGACAGCCTGCTCCTGCATCTCTAAGACGTCTTTCTTGAGGGGTGTCAAGCCTTCCTGGGCCGTTTTATCCTTCAGGACTGAATCCCAAAGGACCCTCCCTAGCAGTGCTCTGAGTAGTTCAAAGTCCACCTTCTAGAATTCCAAGGTAGCAGTTTGCTGGCCCCCCTCCTGACTTCACCACGCAACCATTTTGTGGTTGCTCTGCCCAAGACAGCTCCTTATCTCTACATCTGTCATCAGTCCTTCTTTTTCTGTGAACAGTAGGTATCAGTGCAGCTAAGTCCAAGTGATTCCTGCTAAACAATGTTATACTTAAGATTGAATGATACGTAAAAGAGTAAGGATATTTTTTTCTATATTATGGAACAGAAATCTTTTGTCCTGAGTATGTATGTAGGGTTTATTCTGTAATAGGAGAGCCATAGCTTAGGAAAACCTAAGCCATTCAATATTTTTCCCTGGACCCATTTTCCCCATGTAATTCTGGGAAGCGTGAAATAATTCCTCTCTCTTACAGGAAATGGAGAGTGCATTGGAGAGATTTTCTAAGCTGCCAGACCATCAGGATGTGGACTCCTGTATTGTAGCTTTACTTTCCCACGGTGTAGAGGGTGGGGTTTATGGCACTGATGGCAAACTCCTACAGGTATATTTACTCTGTCCTGATGTGTTGTAGGTTACATCTTGGAAAGTGAAAATGGAAAGAGGGAAAAAAAACAGAAGGGAATGGGGAGACTGAGGATTTACTCTTTTTAAACAAAAAGCAAAAGTAAGAGCTTGTCTGAAGAAAATGATAGTGATAGCTATGAGAAGTCTGTAAGATAAAGAATGCAATAAATATTTGTTAGATGAGAAGTTGTTACTCCTTTCTCTCTTCACATGCACATATCAGGTAGAGCATGTGAACTCAAACTAACAGGAGCCCAGAGTGGGGAGGTGGGAGGATGTTTGTGATGTAATAAGTTTGGAGATAAAGGAGAAAGAGTAGTGAGGTAATAACCAAAATATGAGGAAGCAAAGGGAGTCTGGGATTGGCTAACAGAGGTCTGCTGTAAAGAATATTTGGATTATTTTTTTTCCTCTCTCAGTTGCAGGAGGCTTTCAGGCTCTTTGATAATGCAAACTGCCCCAATCTTCAGAATAAGCCCAAAATGTTCTTTATTCAGGCCTGCCGGGGAGGTGAGTGCCTAAATACTAGAAGCTGTGATTTGTCATCCCATTAAGGCACATTTTACACACGTACACGCCCTCACATTCAACTTGCTGTCAACTCTCCTCTTTGCTTCTCTCAGGTGTAAGTGGGATCCATATTCACCTCCCTCTGCCCTGCTGCTGCCACTGCATCTGTTGCTCTGTAAGTGTCTTCTGTTCTGCATGAAGTGTGTGCATTGACTTGCAGACCACAGAGCACCTCAGAGACGTAAAGCTTTATATATTCATATATATTATATATGAATTATTATATATGAGTTATTTAATAGATGAGTTATATAACTCATATATTAAGACTTCCTCTTGTTATACCTGCAATAGAGGGAAAGGGGCTTATGGTGCATCGAATTATAGCACAGCATGAAGCAGTACACTAGTATTCAAGTCTTGCCTGAGTCCGTGTCTCTCCTTTGATCTTGGATATGTTGTTTCTTCTGGTGTCTCCTGAGCTATCAGAGTTAGCTGCTATTTGTTCTTTGTTTTCTTTTTCTTTAATCAGTCTCCTATTTTCAACCTTTTTCACAAGCAACTATCAAACTCATTTAATTCTCATAAATTGTTATTTTTCCAATCTATGTGTCCCTATCATTTTCTTCCTAATTCTGATGTTCATTTTTTCTCCTATTATAACTAAACACTATCTATAACAACCTACCCTTCAGATATACAAATGACCAAATTTCTTCCTTCATATGGACTTTCACAGATAACTGTGAAACTAGGAGTACTCCAAAGACAAGTTGTGTCTTGGATAGCTTTTGGGTTTTTTTCTTTCGTGATAGAGAAGTTCTGTTTTCTAGCATGTATCCTTTTTCCCCTACTTTTCTTTTGTTCCTTACATTTGTTTCCTCTTTTTTTCCCAATTTTAGCTGGTTTATAGTTTGACCTATAACCAAGAGCATGTTTCATTCACCTGTTACCTACTCATGTTTAATCCTAACACAGCAGAAAATGTAAAGTCTACGTAAAGCATTGTGGGTGCCACAAATATTTGATCCTTTATGCATTTGGGAATACTGTAGTATGCGTCTTTACCAGTATGAACTTAATGTGTTTATATTCCTTATGTTATTGAACCTTTAAATATTCTTCAACAAATACAAACGTGCGGACTAGTAACAGCATGAAAATGAGTTTAATAAGCCTGAATTGACTGCTGACCTAATTAGGTAACAAGGTTTATCTGACTGTAATGTTACCATAATGTGTCTGTTCAAGTTAACATCTGTATTTGTCCTTTTCTTTCCATGACGGTTTCAGGAGGGAAAGAGTGAGAAACTTGCTATGCAGGATGCTGTAGAAGTGGGATATTAAACAGGCAAAAGACTGAGACTTGAACATCTTAAAGGGGAAAAAAAATCTTCCTTTAACTAAATATGCCTTTTTAATCTGGTTTGTAAAGCTTAATTAGTAGTTAGAACAGAATGCAAGTTATGAATCAACTTGAGCAGTCAATAAAAATGTGTACCTTTTCATACTGGTGTTCAAAGGTTAGCCATTACTACTTTTTAGATGTGTATGTATTTAAAAGGCTGTATAAGTGGTGTAGACAACTTTAGGTTAGTAGTCAGTGTCTCTATGTAACCATGCAAGTTAGCTGGAACCAGCCAAAGTTAAGTGCATAGGTTACTCTTTTTCACTGTTTATGTAATAAGCCTCGTCTTTTCTCTATAATTGACACGTTTTAAATTTTTTAAATCTTTAGATGTGAAGAATTTATGTGGTCTACTTCATTTCCAATGGACCTTTGGCATGGGTCTGCTAAAGAATTGAAGTAGTCCACTTAAAGTCAAAGATCAAAAGCCAACAGTGACAGAAAGCAGTGGGAAAAGACAGCTTGTCAGATTTCACCATGACATAAAATGGGGCTTTAAAAGCTATTTAGCATCCATGTTTAATATAGGAGCTGATTCTGCAAAGAGAAGAACTGCTGTAAATACTGACAAATGTGCAGTTAACAGTTATTAAAATTGATTGAGAAAAGAAGGTCTAGGAGCTTCAGGGAAATTCTATTGACTTGGATAGTAGTTATTGATACAAATTAGAGCTTGAATATGCAAAGTGATATCTTGACAAGGTTAATGCTTTACGTTTTTAGTTACATTGTTGACAGGGATGGTGTTTGAAGACAAATACATGAGGAAGCCATCTAATTCTGAATCTTTAATCAAAAAAGCTTTGACTCAATATGCTATGACAGTTTGAATAATATACCTTGACTATAAAATTACATGCATCTTATTTGAAGTAACATACAATGTGAAGAGTAGTCTAAAGTTTTAACATGACAGAGAACTGAAAGGGTTTGGAGAAGTGTAATAAAAGGCAAAAGGGGAAAAAGAGTGGTTAAAAATGGAAAAACAATCCATTCCTACCTTTAAGAGAGGAAGAAGGAACATAATGGGAGTGCTCGTTAAATTTTGAACTATAGTATTCCTATAGTATGGAATCATAGGATACATGTGACCTGTTAGACAATCACATTCCTCCCACTGTTGCTTTCATTTCTGAGGAGAAGAACCCATCTTGTTACTTTATGAACTGTCCATCTCCTGTACATAGTTACAGTATGCAACCAATTCTGCTACCTGTTGAAGGATTAGAAATCCGAGTACATTTCTTAGGCACAGCATAGCAACAGACACCTACTGCCATTATAAAAGGAAGGCCACTGAAGTGAATACTTGGGCTTCCTAAAACCAGAATCTTGTCCATGCTGTTAGGAAGTAGAATAGTAAATTTTTATCATATAGTAGAAGAACAGAAGGGCAAAATTATGTAGAAAGCCTGTAAAATAGGTTTATTTTTATTGTAGCATAGCTGGACTGTCAGTGTTACTGCCACTGTTATTAGTGTAGATTACAATGGAAAATCTTTATTGTTTAAACAACAAATTGAGGCTATCTACAATCATCACGGTACATGCTATTGAATCCTGGAAAGGATGTTAAATATTCTCCAGGTACTAAAATAGATCTCCATGTACTATAGATCTCTCTCTCTAGTGTTCGGGATGAAGTTATTTTTTCATTGCATGTACAATGATTTTGGTTGAAGTAAGTGGTATTGTAGTCAGAATTTTGAAGGTGAAGCATTTGGTCACTATTTTCTTGGAGTTAGACCTTAGCAACTAAAATTATAGTTCTCAACCAGCATATAGACTAGCCATCACATTATGCTGAGCACGTTCAGCAATCGCTGGTGTTTGTATTAGTTTGTGCAGAAGAGCTTTCAGATGAGTTTTTTAAAAAGCTATAAAAGCTAACAGCTTATGCAGAAACTGTCATCTTGACAACAGTTGTGGCATTGCTGACTGGAGCACAAAAGTAAGGAAAACAGTAATTCAGGATAATATTTTTTTTCTCCCTCTCTTATTTTTTGCTGCACTAATCACCAGACGAGACAGACCGAGGGGTGGATCAAAGAGATGGCAAAGAAAGGTCAGATTCCCCAGGCTGTGAGGAGAGTGATGCAAACAAGGAAGAAAATCTCAAGCTGCGTCTGCCGACGTGCTCCGATATGATCTGTGGATATGCGTGTTTGAAAGGTACTGGAATGAAGCACTAATTCTTAGGGTCTTAAGAGTTTCTGTGTGTCCATCTTCCCCTGGAACTTTATCATGCATACTCTTTCTTCTCAGGCACTGCAGCCATGCGTAACACCAAGCGTGGATCCTGGTATATCGAGGCACTCACCACTGTGTTTGCAGAGGACTCCCGAGACACTCATGTGGCTGACATGTTGGTGAAGGTCAGCTGTAATGCCTTTCCTTTCACACACTTGCCTGGTTTCTGAAGAGCCTTCAATTTCAAGTTGCTAGGATGAATAGACTCTTTAAGCAAATGTTGTTGCTCTATTTGTAGCAGAATTATTACTTCTTTCCTTGTTTAGATAGATCAATAGATATAATTAGAGATAGATAATTATGTACAGTTCCACAGTACATTAAAAGAAGTAAAAAACGTGTCAAAGGTTTATGGGCCGGTTTGGTCCGGTTCCATGACTAGCAGGGCAGAGTGATTTCACAAAATCCACGCCTCTGGAAAAGGAAAATAGGGGACCCCAAAATAGTTAAAAACAGCAGCAATGATCTGAGGAGAAGCAAACTAATTTACTAAATATGGTATCAGAATGCAAGATAATGCACTATAATATAGTATAATTAGAATTGAAGATGATAAATCGAATATAATGAGAGAGAGTGTCCAAGAGGTGGATAGACCTCACCGTAACACTGAGGTGAGATGCACAGTCTGGTTGAGCAGCAGGGAGGAGAGCCTGGCAAAGAAGAGAGAGGTCAGATGACCTACCAAGGCCTTATATCTGCTCCCCTTGAGCTGAAATGATAGCAACACAGCAAACAGCCTTCTGGGGAATGTAGCTATTCTTCTCTTCTGGGGCAGGTATCTGGAGCATTAACACTTTAACTCGAGGTGTACTACATGATATTATGATGTGCAATACCAATAACCAAAAACCATAAAACCATGACAAAATGCTAGGTTTCTTTGGCTCCTTCCATTGCGTTTGTGTTGGCCATGTTGTGAGTTTAGGAGATTAATCTAACTTGCCAAGCATCACTTTTCTAGTATAGAAATAGTTTATTTTTTCAGGTGGATTTGGCCTGAACTGGCTCAGTATGTAGCAGCACAAGCACTTTTACTCACATGAGGGGAAAATTAAGGAAATGAGAGGAGAGTGAAGACTGCAGTGTGCTCACAGTAACTAGAGCTTCGCATTAGTTTCTTTATTCCTCCTGTAGTTTAGAAAGGCAGTATATTGGTAATTAATTAATAAGATAAACAATAATTTTTGAGTAAGAAAAGCAATGACACTTTGTCTTCTTAACTCTTTGAATCTTTTTACTTTTTTAATCTTACATTTAGGTGAATAGACAAATCAAGCAACGAGAAGGTTATGCCCCAGGCACAGAATTCCACCGCTGCAAGGAAATGTCAGAATACTGTAGTACACTCTGTCGGGACCTGTACCTATTTCCTGGTTATGTGCCAGGAAAATAACCCTACCAGCTCCACTGGAAGAGAGATACTGCCAAAGCTGAACTGAGTATGGATGTGTACATTTCTGTTCTCACAGGCGTGACAGCAGATGCCAAGCAAGGAGTGCTATTTCATGTTTAGCCAGTCCAGTTCTTGATGTCTTTTACTAAAACAAGGTGGCAGCTCATCCTAATCTGATTCAATTCAGGGGTTAAAATACTAATATCTGATTTATTTCGTATGTATGGATATCGGTGAAAAGAGATCAGCACTATAACTGATAGTGAAAATTGAGAATATCCTTTGGAAAGAGGCGTAAGGACATTTCTTAGAAATGTGAATGTGAAAAGAGAAATAGACTATCTATACAAATTTTGGAAGAGATAAGCCTTTCTGAGAGGCAAATGATTCGTAAAATGCTACTTATTTTATGCTTTTATTTTTTTTAACTGCTTCTTGCCCAGTTCTTCATGCATGTCAGATCCTGTGCACAGTGAAGGAGAATCCTGCTCTCTAAAACAGGATATTGTTTTAAGTAGCTGACATTTACAGTCCATCTTGATCACCTGAAGTCTATTTTTGCGCATTTTTTTCTGTAGCCGAGTTATCAAGGGAGCTGCAAGACATCCCAGATTATCAGAAAAACAAATGGAAATTCAGTGTTTCTCGCAGAGATCAATGACGTCATTTAAATGCACCTGAAACAGTTTTGAATCAGGAAATTCTGGATTAGCTCCCCTTAGTCTAGGAGTGAACAACTGTATAGAACATTATTTTTTATATTTGTTTGCTGTAGTATCTGTGTGTCAGAACAGGCACAGTATTCAGACACTTCACCAACTTTTCAAGAGTCTATAAATTGTACTGTATGACTGAAATCCTGCAACCCTGTAGAAAGGGCTCCTATATCCTCTGTTTAAGGAAAATATTCAAGGCAGTTCTTTATAGACCAAGCATGCTGCTTGGATTATTTTTCACTGGCAGTCTGTTTCTCTTTCATTTAAAAGAGAAGAGTTTCACGTTATTACTCTGATATGTGGTGAGTTTTCTTTCTTTAGCCATGATCACTTAAAGCTGTCTGTTCAGCTAATTTTGTTTGCCAAAGGTCATTTTGACTGATCTATCAGTAATGTTGTGCCATAATCCATCTCTTTGTCTGGAAAGTTCACGTGCACTCTCTTCATACTTGCCTCTTCCAAGTTGCAGTTACTCCCATGTGATGTGGTGCGGGGAGATGGGCATTGTTCTCTTCTGTGGTAGCCTAAGTTCTGATATGCTAGATTGTGTATGGGCTATGGTCTGTATACTGGAGTTCCTGTCTTCATTCTACAGCAATAAGGCAGCATAGTACTCTTAATGTGTAAGTGCGTTTGTTTTTTTTATCTTTCTTCCAGGATAGAATTATGAATAGGAAGCACAAAGGGATGTGGAGGGAGGCTGGAAAACTAGGTATGTGCTTTTCTATTGTTCTGCACAGGAAAATTAAGGCTGTGTTTTCTCCAGCTGACAAAGGTGCAACATTAAAATACATCTTGCACTTATCTAACACAAAGCATGCGATAAATAAAACAAAAAACATTCCTGCCAATTGTTGCCTTACTCTGAAGAAACCACTGTTGAGGTTGTTGCACCTCCCTGGAGTACAAACACTTCCTACCCCAGTGCTCCCTCTTTGAAATGGTGCAATATTTTACAGGTGTGTAGATTGATGAAGTAGACTGCTCTGAAAGATCAGATTTCAGTAGGATTCCATCAACTTGTATTATCACTGCCACTTTGGTATTTACTTTTTATATACTTGTATTTTACTGCCTGGAGGTGTCAAAATAAAGAATTCTTGTTTGATTAATCTGTGCAGTATCATCCATTTGGAGGATTATACATCTGTGTAGAAATAGAACTTCTATAAGGAGAATTTTGCATAATTTCTGAAGGTAATAGCTCCTTGAGGCACTTTTGAACTCTTGGGCAGAATCCTGCTGCTTGCTAGCTGGAACTCGTATGGGCTGCTTGTGGGGGGAAGGACCCAGAAAGGAGATGAAGATGAATGTGGGGGAAGATGAGGGGGATCAGATTGCTACAGGGAAACTATTATGAGAGACCTTGACCTGTTGTGTCCAAGACAGGTTATTACAAGCAGCTGTGCAGCTGGCCCACCTTTAGAAATCAGCAGTGAGATCACTTCTGGGAATTGAGATCAAGATAATGTACCTATGTGATGCAGGGTGAAAGCCAGTGAGTGTGTGAGATAAGAAAATAAAAGTTCTGTTCTCATTACTTCCAGAATAAATCCCAGTATTCAGATCCACTAGGAGCTGTTTTTTACTCTCAGCTGTGACATCTCTTTTCATGAAAAAAAGTATACTGGTTTTTCAATAGTACCTAGTGCTGGTACAAGAATTCCAGCAGTGTTCAGTAGAAAACCTATTTGTGCTGAAACTGTTACTAGTAATATAAAAGATGTTTATATTTTTAGATAAGTAAATTTAAGCTACTGACACAGTTTAATTAATGCCTTTAATAGTGGGATTAGCAAGAAAGTTTTGTGTTGTTCATATTTTGGCTCAAAACCAAAAGAATAAGGTCAAAAACGTTTTTTGTTTTGTTGAAAGGGGTGTGAAAACAGTGAACGGGATATTCACAAGATGTAGTTACAAATCTGAGTTACATAACAACCATTTTAATTAGTGGAGCAATTCATTATAGGAATACGGTTGTAGTAACTGTGAAGTGTTTTTGTTTCCATTTGCTCTTATATAAAAAAATGATAGATACTCAAAGAGTCTGACTGTAAAAATAATTATTGATCTCTTCTTCGAAATTAGGATGTACAGAATAGTCTTTTAAAAAAGCATAATTTTCAAAACATCAAAAGATTTGGATGAAAATCTGTAGAACAGCTTGTAAAATAAAATACGTACCAGGTCGAGATTCCTAACATACATTGTCTGTGTTGCAGAGGACAACAGTCTCATACCCTGAAGACAGGTAAAAAACGTTCTCTGTATCATATCACTAAATTACTAAATTGAAATACAAGCAAAAGAAAATATTGTTATGTAATTGATCATCTTCATTACAAAGCGATGATGTCATCAGAGTTTACATACAGAAAGTGTCATTCTTTAAAGGGAAAAGAATGAAGTTATAAATCATCAAGTTCCAGGATTAGTCTTGGAGAAGCTAACTTTCACTAGGAACAAGGACTGGATCATACACAGTGTTATTTGGCCTACCATTGCTGCTATTGCCAGTTTTACTCAAAGAATTTTTTCTAACATCACAGTGAAGTCAGAGAGTTTTTTTCATCCTGCACCTAGTTTCAATATTATCAGGCCTCATAAAGTGTGAAGTAGAGACAGTAAAGTTCCCTTTTGTCCTTGTGGCTGGTAAGGATTGAAGAAAGCAGTGCAAGGGTTTGCATGCCCTTTCTAGATGCATGATGACATTCAAGAATCCCTCAAATACCAACATGAGATCCCTGTATGTCCAGTACTGCAGCCCAGTATTAGAATTTCCATGAAAAGCTTGACAGATAGCAGAGGTAAAGAAGCAGCAGGTGTCTGTGGAAAGAGCAGCAACCTGTTGTTTTGAGCTTAAGTGGGGAGGTTTTGGCAATTAGGTGGGAGAGGTGGCCTCTGAGAGTGGTAAATTTTAGAATGAAAATGGAGAAGAGAATATAAATAGTTGAAATGATACTAAGTGCTGGTAATATCAATGAATGACGATTCTTGGAGGTAGGAATACTGGGAGGAAGATGGTTTATATGTGGTGAGATACTGTGGCCCAGAAGTCAGCAACAATGCGTATACTTGAAGTCAAATTATGTTAAATGTTGGGGACATCATGTAATCATGTAAGGAATAGTCTTCAAAGTACTGCTGGGAGAAGTAGCCCTCTCAGATGATGACTCTTCTCAAAGTTGCCTCTGAAATAAGTTGTAGAATAATTTTGCTCAAGTTGCAGGAAGATTTTTTTTGTCCCTAACTTTGGTCATTTTTTTTATTTCCATCCTCTTTCTTCCAAAGTCTCTTTCTGTCATTAGCCCCCATTCTTTCTATGGTCCCACTTTAGATCCCTTCTAAATGCAGAGAAGAGTAATACTGCCTGAGAAAGGAAAGGGAAACCTTACCTCCTGTTAATTTACTAAACTGTCCCAGTGCCAGGGCAGCAGAGGGAGATTAAAGCAGGGAAGCGCCTGCCATTTCCAAGCACAGATTGAACAGGAGGGGGTAGGGAGTCTCTGGTTACACTCTCCCTACTCTGTCTTTCCCTCACCAGTAACCTTCTCTCCCAGGGTGCACTGTGGGATTTTAGCTGAAGCCTTGTGTCTGCTGCACTCCATGATTTTGCAGTGGAGAGCAGAAGGGAAGACGTTGCCCTGAACATCCCTTGCTCCACAAAGGTTGTCTCTGGGGATATGACTAGGGAGGCCTCTCCAACAAAAGTATTGCGATACCAACAAACTCTGGTGAGTACAATACCTGCAGAAGGACAGAGCGTTTCCTACACTGTAATTTGTTCTCTTCTGAAGGGGTAAAAGCTTTTCTTGCCTACAAATATCCTTCCCTGCTTGTATTAGGAAAAATTTGTGAAAATTCTGCATGAGCACATGCCCCGGAACTGCCTTCCTCTAAGACAGAATGAGGCCATTTTCTCTTTTTATCATTAAGAAAATGGAAATAATCTTTAATCCCCATGAATGAAAAAATTTTGTCACTGAATTCACTAGATTAGGAAGAATGTGCTAGAAAGAGTCAGGGCTGAGTTTGTAGGGACAACCGATCTGCAGAGCTGCATGGAAAGGCAGTTGCTTGTTGTGAATTGGTTTGCTTTTCTTGGACAGACTTCTCACTACTTTATTACAGCTTTCAGAAGAGATAGAATTCTGCCCTGCTGGATGTTAATGCATGCTACTAGAGTATGCTCTTATTGGCATCTTTTAGGCAAATCTTAGCGAGGTTTTGCACTGCTTTGTTTTAAGGATATTTATTTGGAGATTGTTGCTTCACTTCCTGATCTAAGAATCTCAACTTTGAGAACTAAGATTCATTTAATCTCCTCATGATTCCTCAGACTTCTCTGAACAAGCTGAGGAAAAAATTTGTACTGTGTCTAAGAAACCACTTTATCTGATATTTTAAATAAGAATTTGCATCAAATACTGCAGATTGCCTACTGAACAGCATGAGTGGAATCCCAGCCTCTGAAAACATATAGTGGTGGCCTGTTTGTGTCAGAGCATGCAAAGATTTCATAGCCATGTTTGCAGACACGACTATATAGGAGGTATTGAAAACATGAATATCTTTGAGCTACTACAAAAAAAACATAGAGGTCTTCTTTGTAGAAGATGTCACAATTGGTTTACTAAGCAAATTGTACAGTTGCTTGTGGGAACAGAAGGTAAAGACAGAGAGAGTACTTCTCCTGTACATGAACTAATACATGCAAGTGAAGAATTTTATGATCTGTAGTGTGACCCTAAGGCCTTGTATGACTGACTGCTTGACTTCAAATCCTGAGTTACATAATGAATATAAGTTTCTCAGTGATCTACATGGACACAACACAAGTACCCAACCTCTTTGACCTCTTGCTCAACTGAAAGTGCTTCTTATCAATTGGCAAGTACTGATGTTGCTGAAAGAGTCATTCATTTCAGTGGAAGGTCTGAACTATAAAATATTTCACGTCTGTTGTTCTGCGTTTCTGTAGACCAATATAAAGTAGCATCCACAGTGTCAGGACTAAGTTACGTTAGTACTAGAACACTGAGACTGTGGGCCTAATGCACAACATAATCAGATTTCATTGGTCTGTTTGCACAGTGTACAATCAATAGGTCAACTGTACAATTAGTAGGTATACAGAGGTTAGGCTTAGTAAGCTTATCATGGTGGAAAAATAATAAAAATAAATGGAAATGCTTACTAGTGCTATAGGCAGTATGTAAAGACAGTAAACTCCACAAGGAGCAATCTCCAGAAAGAGATCCTTCCTCAGTGCCAGTCAGCACTTAAATGGGGTCTAGGAGAGGTGCAGCCAGGCTGCACCCCTTGGGATAACACAGGTGAATTGCCTTCACCTGTGCTCCTGTGGCTGACTCTGTTTGCCTCAGGTGGTCAATCAGGTTCAGGCCATGATCAACAGTTCCCATACACACAGTATAGAATGTTGTAAGATTTCTAGAAGGAGAACAAGTTCTGAGATGAAAAATTGTACTGAGTTGGTTGCTGAGCTGATCAAATTGCATGCAGTACTAAACTGTAAGGAAATGCAACAAAATTGAACAAAAGTGGTAGTAGAAAGAACAAGTTTGTGAAAGATGCAAAAGCTATACTTCTTCTAAAGCTGTAACAAACTCGTGAGTCCTTAGACATTTCACTTTTTTATTCTGTAATTTAGAACTAGACTAGTCAGAGTCAGTGCCAGTTTTCCTGCAGTCTTGGGGGAAGAGATGACTAGCATTAGATCTCCTTAATTTAAAGAGTATAATCCATATAATTTGGTAAAAAGCAAGTCTTCTTTGGCAGAATATATGCAGGTTATTAAGCAGTTATTCAGGAAAGAAAGCAAGTCAATGTATTCCATGTCTTCATTTACTCATAAATTTGTTTCAAATATTTGCCACTGAGAGCATGGATTCTGAACAGGGCAGGAATTTGTAGCAAATGGTAGTTGTTTGATCCTTCAAGTGTCTGCATGGTTAAACTCAAAACATTTTGCTCTTTAGTTGAATTCAAGTCACTCACATCCCAGATAAACTTTAGGATCAGAAGATAACTACGGTGCTACATATTTCATTAAAAAAAGACTACAGATGTAGGAGTTCTTTGATAATTATCATGTATTTGAGCTTTTCCAAATCTGAGGAAGGTGAGCAGATAATTACTGGATCTAATCAGGCTTTAGTGATAGGTAGGTGCTGAATCACTAACCTTGACGAAGAATGAAATATTTCTCAAAACAAGAGAAATGAAGATCAGTTATAATGATTGGGTAGCAAGTGAATATGAGATTGCAATTCTGGATGAAGGTGTCTCGAATGGATCCCAGATACTTATGAGACCTGAGTGTCTTAGCAATTTATGCCTTAAAATACTAACTTTGGGAACATGCTCCTATCAAGCATCGTCATTATCACTGTTCACTCCATATTGTTAGTCATGTTATTTTTTTCTTACCTAGTGAAGGAAGAATAGCAGAGCGCATAAGATCAATGCCAAACTAATGCTACAAACTTTTTCATAAATAAAAGTCACTGCTCTCTGGGTACACTGGCATTTAGTCAAAGAAAGGGTAGGTCATTGCCTGGCTTTAAAGACTGCAGGAATGATTGCTGTTTTTCTGTTGTAGAAAATCTACTGCACTGTCACAATCCAGTATTGAAGTTGCTTATAAAGTCTTTGTACCTTGGGAAGAGGTGAGATGGTAGACCAAGCTATTGCTGGTTAGCCTTTGAGGTCACAAATCACCTAAATAAGAGATCTGATAAGTCAGCCGGCCGTTTCTTGCCCTTCAGACCCTTCTGTGGTAAAAGCATCTTGGCTTATTTATATAACATGGTCACTTTATTCAGTTTCTTATATACCAGGTGTCTTTTGTTTCTCTACCATGTTCTTTTTAAGACATTTATTTTCTGTGTCTTTTGTTACCTCTTTGTCATTTACTCTTTCATGATTCTCTTGTTATCCTCAAATACCTTTCTCTTACTCGTCTTCTGCTGCATCTCCTGTTTGTTTCTCTGATGCTTCTGCTCTCTGTACATGAAGCCAAGTGTTAGGTTTCACAGCTGTGTTTTTTTCTGTGCCTTCGTCAGGTCACTGCCATCTGTTCCAAAAATATCCCATGTGATTATTCCCCTGTGCTGTCCCAAGGCAGTGGGGGATCCTTGGCAGTCCCTCCTCCTCTTTTTTTTTTTTTTTTTTGAAGTTATTATCGATCATACACAAAGTAATATTAGAAGGACGAGGAGTCTGGACAAATGAGGTCATGAGATTTATGCAGATTCTGCTGTACATACTGCTAATTCTAAAGCTAGAGATGGCAAATGAGGCAGATGAATACAGTTTTATACTCTACAGGGCAAGACATAGGCTCCTGACAATGATATTAGAAAAGGAAAAAAGGAAGTTTTCAGTTACTTGCTGTATGATTGAAAGTGCAGGCATTTAAGGATCATCTCTTACTGTAATTAGGGAGTAATTTTTAGCTTCTCGTATTCAATCTTGGCAAGGTCTGGGAGGGAGTCACCTCTTGTATACTGGAAGTACTTGTTGCCTTACAGAGTAGCCTCTGCTGAGATTGACAGATGCTATAAATCCATTTGCTGGCTTTCTGTAAGTGAAACTGGTATTTAGTATCTGCTGAAGCTAAGCGCTTGCTTTTTGCTTATCCATTGCTAGTTTCAGAAGCCCTGCAAGTAATCACGTTTCCACTGTGACATCCCAGGAGGATGGCTAAGAAAGACAAAAATTAAAGCGGGCCTTATAAAGCCAGCTTTTTCTTAAAATAATGGCTTAATTTTTAAAACTTTACTAAGCTGGAATACACATGGTATTCACTGATTCTGCACAAGTTGGTCTGAGTGTAGATTTACTTCACTACAATGCTAGGCCCTAAAGACAGATCACGAGGCATTGTGAGGATAGCTGCACTATCCAGCCCACAAACAACAGAGCAGTACTCTATCTATCACTGCATGGGAGAGGTGTTCATATCTGCCTTAGCTGTTTAAAACATGGGAATAGGAAATTGGCATATATTTTGCTGTGGCTGTAAGCTCTGCTGTGAGATCTAACAGCTACCTGAAGAATTTATATGGCTAGCAGAGCTGGTATTTACAGTTCTATTAATAATTTGTTTGTCTGCCAGTATTTCATTTTTATCTAAAAAAAAAAAAAACCACAAAAAAAACCCCATAGATTTAAGATGAGAAGGAGCCTCTTGCAGTATCCAGTCCAACTCCTTAGTCACAGATCTTTCCCTTGTTGAAAGCCATGGCTGTTACCTCTTTTACCTCTTGTGCATTCCCTGTGCTTGTCTCAGTAGAGTCTGGCTTCATCTCCTCTGTACTGTCAGACAGCTTCACCTCTGCTCTTGGGTGAAAAAACACAGCTCCTTCATCCTCTTCTCACAGGCTATGCATTCCTTGCTTGTAGTGCTATATAATTTAAGCTTTTCCAAGAGCCGCATAGATCTGCAGCCCAAGAAAAAAATGTCATGAGCTGTCAGGATGCTGACCAGTCTAATCCTTGCCACTGATCTTGTGCTAGCAAAAGTGAAATAACCTGCCTGCATGTAAATGACATAAGGCATCCCACATGTATTTGAAATCTAAGTAGGATGGATAGCTGCGTGCTACAAGTTTTTTACATGTTGTTATCTTGATAGCTAATGTTTACATGGTAATTTGGCAGCATAGCAGGTTAAAGTATTCCAGACTAGTTTGGGGGGCAAAGGTAAAAT